AGATGGATTGATTCGGTGACTGGGGTAATTGGGATGGTTGTGTCAGAGGCAGTGCAGTTGGCACAGGATAGAGCAGGGTTTAGGGCTGTTGTGTATAGGGTCGCTATGAGTCGGAAACGACTCGACGGCACATAACAACAACAACAACAAAGCTAAAAATGCACAAGTGTTGTTGCTGTTGTATACCGTAGCGTGGGAACTGACCCATAGCTGAACCTCCAGCAGGTTTTCAGAGGCAGTTAATCACACAGGAGGAGATTGCCCATCCTTTTCCTGCAGATTTCCTGATGGATTTGAACCATGTGCCTTCAGAATTGCACAGCAGCTTACCATTAGGCTACCAGGCTCAAGTGGTTAAAAAGACTGTGGCTTGACTCAGACAAACCTTAGTCTTTAAACTGGCATCATTGTTCCTTTACATCTTAGAAAGGTCCTTAATAGCAGACTTACCCATACAATACAGCTTTTGATTTGACTCCTGATACAAAGGTGTTAGTGTATCCAAGTAAGATGAAATCATCGGCAACTTTAATTTTCCCCCATTGATGAGGATTTTTGTCTTCTTGATGTTGAGATGTAATCCATAATTAAGGCTATGGTTTTCATTTTCTGTAACAACCATTTCAAGGTTGTGTTATCTACATAATGCAGGTCGTGGATGAAAGTCTTTCTCCAATCCTAATACCACATTCTTCTTTATAAAATCCAGCCTCTCAATTTGCTTATTGTACAGTCTGAAGAGGTATGGAGAAAGGATACAGCCTTGCTGCATACCTTTCTTGATTTTAAACCAAGCAGTGTTCCCTTGCTCTGTCCAGATGACAGCTTCTTGGTCTAGTATAGGTTTTGCATGAACACAATTAAGTGCTCTGGGAAGGGGGGTAATCAGGGTACCAATCCAAAGGATATTTTCTCTTAGGGGAAATGGATCACCATTCTGAACCCTTATTTTTCATGTCCTGTGGCAGGTAATATTGTGGACAGCTGGGCTGCAGCTCAGTGCTTGGCTCTGGAAGGTGATGCCACTTATCCTGTGATTAAGAGGATCCTCAACCAGTTGTTTAACAAGAAGGACCAGGCCACTGAGGACCAATCCTGTATACTTCTGAACCATCTCAGCAGGAAAACAGTAAGTGTTCATGAAGACAGGAAGTGTGGGTCATAGAAACCAAGGTTTGGGCAACAACTAGGCCTTTGAGGTTAGGGTAGGTAAGGACTCCAAAAGGCATGTGGTCAGGATTTCAAGTACCAACAGAAAGTGAGGGTGAGCATGGGCATAGAGAAGAATATAAAAAGTGAGGACAGTTAGCTGAAAGGAACAGACTGCATGCAGGCGATGCAGATGGTTTCTGTATATGCAATGAGTTTTAACAAAACAATACACTGCTTCTGTTAGACGTTTACCATCGAAAAGTGCACACCCAGAGCTCTGGTGGCCTAGTGGCAAGAAGCTGAACTGTAATCCCAAAGGTGAGTGGTTCAAACCCACCAGATGCTCCGCTGGAGAAGGAGGGGTAATCTCCTCCTGTGTCAGTTGGATCTAATTTGATGGCACACAACAACAACTGGGGGGGGGGAGAAAGAAGAAAAGTGCACACCCTACAGCTGTGTTTACTTTCAGGAGAAATGTGAAATTCACACACACTGAGACATACTCAGATCATCTTAGGGGTAAAGGCAAAGCCAAGGAGAGTGGGTCCCAGTTCTCTTTTTAGATAATTAAGTCTCTACTTTGTCCCCGATTTATGATCCTAGAATTAATTGGCTCAGACAGAAAAGTACACTGTGCATTTTGTAAACCTAACCTTTCCTTTGTGAGGGATGGGAAGCTAATGTCCTTGTGATATTAATTATGTTGGATACCACATTATGCAGTGGTGGCCTAGTGGCAAGAAGCTGCACTGCAATCCCAAAGGCATGCAGTTTGAATCCACCAGATGCTCCATGGGAGAAGTATGGGCAATCTCCTCCTGTGTGATTAACTGCCTGTCAAAAACAGGCCAAAGGGTCAGCTATGGGTTGGTTCTGACTCAGTGGTACACAGCAACAACCACATTATGAACATAATCTTCCAAGGTTAGTATCTCTAAAAGTGACTGTAACCATGCATCCACACCTTCCATTTCCTCAGACCCTGATTCACACTATGCTTGCCGTGGAGTTGAACAGCCAACACTGGAAGGACCGGATTGTGGCTTGCCGGGCTCTGTCCCGGATCAGCGGGAATGTCAATTTGGTAAGTCTTCTCTTTATATGCTTCTAGAACATACTGCTTATGCAAGGCTGGGTTACTTTTTGTTGCTATCTACTCGGAAGCTCTTGTGGCCTAGGGGTTAGGGAATTGTGTTTGAATCTACCAGCTGCTCTGCAGAAGGGAAAATGGACATTCTTCTGTGTGATTTACAGCCTCTGAAAATCCACTGGAGGGCTCACTATGAGTTGGTCCCATCTAGAAGGCAATGAACAACAATCATCCATTCTTATCCCTTCCTCCCCTAATATCTCATTCTATCAAGAAGATGTGTCTCCTTGTTGCTGCCCCATACTTGTTATCCAAAGATGTCTTCAAATGCTGGCATGCCTTTCTGTGACCTTACACCCGTGTGGTTCTCACTGGAGTGGTGATCTCCAGACTGCTGATTACCATGAAATAAGCACAAATACAGAGAGCAAGTTTAGAAGCTTTTGCAGTAGTCTGACATAGTCTCAAAATCAATGAAAATAGTCTATCCTTCACAAAGATAGGGAGCTCTGGTGGCAAGAAGCTGCGCTGCAATCCCAAAGGCACATGATGCGAGGCCACCAGCTGCTCTGTGGGAGAAGGATGGGCCATCTCCTCCCCTGCAATTAACAGCCTCTGAAAATCTACTGGAGGGTCAGCTCCAACTTGAGGGTACACAACAACAACAAATACCATAAATATACTGGTCCTTCATCAAGGAGAGTTTGAGAAGCACTTACTTCAACTACATAATGACCCAGCTCTCTCAGTGTCTGTGCAAACTCTCCTGCATGTGATTATGCAAATGCATGCAGAAGGTATATAAACACAGTCCCTACTCTTAAAAAAACAACAAAAAAGCAAACCAAAACCTGGTCATTCAGTCAGAGCATCAAGACTAGTATATTAAAACAATTTAAGAATTGGCAAAATAATGTAAAGAAAACAGCACTCTAAATTATTTTTCAGAAAAAATATTTGCATGGGTTGAACTTACCAGTTCAGGTTTTGTGAAGGAGTGTGAAATGGCTTAATAGGACTTAGAACTGAAGAGGGAATTTCAGGGAAGGACATTCATTACTATTACCTAGATTTTCACCTGACCTTTTTTTGCCATTATTTCCAAACCATCATCAACTGTCTATGATTTCTCCCTTCTTCCATGTGTTCTTCCCATATCATTGAGTACCTTCTGTATACCCCAGAACACAGGCATCCTCGAGAAAACACTCTCCACTCTTCAGTGCTCATCCTGCTCCCCCTTCCAAAAATGCTTTCTTTTAACCCTCACCTCTTTGTGTGGGAAGCACCAGTTCTGGCCTACAAAAGCTAATTATCAAAAGGTAATGTGGGCTTATGGACATCTCAATCCATCCATCCTACTGGCAATGGATTATGGAAAGAACCGCTTTGTTCAGTAACAATTTGGCAACCGTGAAAGGACCTTCAGACGTACCTGAATCAGAACCCTGAGCACTGTTCCGGAGATAAGACTGCAAGCTAAGGAAGTGAAAGGTGGATGGATCCAGCCACTCCCGCTAGACTCAACCTCAGAAAACGCCATGAAAATACTTCTAATGGAACAAGAAGGCACGCAGCTTGAAATCAAGGCTACCAGTTAAGAGTTAAAGTGGGCTCCCTTTCCCCTTCATCTCAATGCCCCTGTTAAGCATGAAGCAGCCAGAGTCTGTGCCCCTATTCTCAAATGGAGAACTCACACACACACACACACAAAAAACCCAAACAAACAAAAAAACCAAACAAAACAAACCAACAAAGAATCTCTTTATAAAGAAGCACTACTCTCCCAAGAATCAACCCAGAACATTTGTCTTATAGATATAAGACTGGTATAAAAAGATTGGGAATGATAGGGTACTATTAAAAAATTCAGGATTCTCTAAATATAGTTATACAACTAGAGTTATAAAGCCAGGAATCAGTTTTCTTCAGCCTGCAAAACTAGTTACTTTGTCTTAGAATTCTTTACTTCCTTTCTTTAGTCATGTAAAATAGTTTAAATGGTCTGTTTACCAGGAGAGGAAATGCATCTTTATTCTTTGAAACTGTTTTTACCTATCATACTAAATTGTATATTAATCTGCCTGTTTAACAGGAAGAGAAATGTGCCCCTCCTGAATTACTAGTTTTTACATATTAACCATTCTTTTCAAATGTAAAAATTCCATAACTTTACTAACAAATGTGCATTGTTAAGTGAGTTGTATTTATCCCTAGTATAAAAACATGATAATGACTCCCAGATGGGGAGGCAGTTTTTGAGGGGAACTTCCTGTCCTCTTAGATCTTTAATAAAGTGCTTATGATTTGCAAAAAAAAAAAAAAAAAAAAAGTAATGCTACAGTTTTGTGCTACTGAAGTCCTGGTCCAGCAGGACCCAGGCATCACATTGCAGCCTGTCAGATATGCAGGCTCTGCCCAGGCAACTCAATCACAAACTGCATTTTCACAATAGATGTCCAATTTACTCTCACATTTGCCTCCTCAGCACTTGTCACTAAGGTCTTCCAGCTAGTGTAATAAGATATGCAGGGCTAACAGTGAATGAAGTCAAGTCATAAAGATTTCATGTCAGATCGCTGGAATTAAGAGAGGAGGTATATTAAGAGAGGCGGTATATTCATCAGGTCTTTCACTCAGTCAGCAAAGTAGTTTCTGATCTTAGAGATGCAAAGATGAATGAGAGGTCTCCTCTACCTTTAAGGATCTCCCTGTAAATATTACAATCTAAGGGACTCTGGTGACTTCCTTTCTTTCCTTAGAGAGGGCAGAGAGGACTTTTCTAAGATGCTATTTAAGCAAAATCCTAAAGGAAGAGTTGGAAAACAAGGTAGGAGACTGGGGCCATGCTGCCTTGCTGCTCGCTCCCCTTCCCCAGGAGCAAGCAAAGAAAACGAGGGGCTTCGGGGGGCAGGCTGGCAAATAAAACCGCTTAAGCAAAAAAAAAAACCAAAAAACAAAAACCACAACAAGGTAGGATGAAGAAGAGAGATGTTTCAGGCAGGAGGAACAGTTGGACACAATTACAAAATCGTTGAGACTATTACTAACACTGTCATATATAACCTTTGTCCCTTCCATAAGAGAAATGGATTTTAAAATATCAAGTGACCAACTGTCCTGGTTTCCCTGGGGCTGATGGATTTCCTGGGACACAGGAATGCAGTGTACAAGTGGGATAGTTTCAAGCAAACTGGGGCCAGCTGTTCACCCTATTAATATACCACTTAAAATTTGTACCTCTCTCAAGTACAAATCAAATTAGTCGCAACACAATGAAGCAATTTAACACATGAGCTTTGCAAACAGACCAGGGTTTGCATTTTGGCTAAGCACTCACCAGGTTAATTTTACACAAGTTGATCTAAAGCTCCATTTTATCCTCTGTAAATCAACACATCCGCTTCATTGTATCTTTTGAGAGGATGGAGTGAGGGACTAGAGGTAAAAAAAATTGCGCAATTCTTGGTCAGTAAGTGGTAGCTGATTAATACAACTACTTGTAGGATATGAAACATAAACTGATTGAACTGATGTGGAAGGACTGGAATAAGAAGGTGAGACAAGCAGCTGCTCAAGCTCTGGGGCAAATGGGCTTCGGCAAAGAGGTGCATGACAAGATCAGGTAAGACCTCAACACACAGAGGGAAAGTTCTATTCCAATGAAGTGTTCAGGCCTGGAGCCCAGCCAGCCAGCATTTCCTGAGTGCTTCTGAAAGCTCAGCATTGTCCTCTCTCATGTTGTTGTTGTTCTTGATTGCCGTTGAGTCAAGTACGACTCAGTGACTCTATGAACCAAAGGCCTGAAGCCTTTCTATAACTATCATCATTTATCAAAGTTCATAGAGTTTCAAGAGTTATTTCCTGAAAAAGGAAAAAAGCTCAACAGCCCCTACAGACACTAACAATGAGGTGAGGGAAAGAGCATGTTCCCTCTAGGTGTTGCCACGGTTTGAGAGACTTCAACAGTATAACATGATTCTGATTACACAGA